CAGGAAGCGGGGTGTTTTGGGGGCGGGCTGTGGGTGTGGACAGGAAGCGGGGGTGTTTTGGGGGCGGGCTGTGGGTGTGGGTGTGGACAGGAAGCAGGGTGTTTTGGGGGTGGGCTGTGGGTGTGGACAGGAAGCGGGGGTGTTTTGGGGGTGGGCTGTGGTCAGCGGGTTTCCCGCATAGTTTCTCTAATCAGGAACCTGGGGTTGCTGTCATAGATTGCATGCGTGGCAGAGGGGTGGGCCCTGCCGGGGCTAGGGTGGGCCTCTCATCTCACCTGGCCCTGCCCTCACCCTCCTGCCTCTCCCCCAACAGGCCACTCATTGCCAAGAAGAACCCGAAGATTCCCATGTCCAAAATGATGACCGTCCTGGGTGCCAAGTGGCGGGAGTTCAGCGCCAACAACCCCTTCAAGGGCAGCTCGGCAGCAGCAGCGGCGGCGGCAGTGGCTGCGGCTGTAGAGACAGTCACCATCTCCCCTCCGATAGCCGTCAGCCCCCCGCAGGTGCCCCAGCCTGTGCTTATCCGCAAAGCCAAGACCAAGGAGGGCAAAGGTAAGGCTGGGGGTGAGTGGGCACCTAGTCCCGCTGGGAAGAGATTCCCCTCAGACCCTACAGGAGAAGCCACAGGGCAGACGCGGGCAGGGAGGGGCAACTGGGGTGCTCCTTATCGATGGCCCTGTGCCCGTGTGACCTTGGATTGCTCGGTCCTTTCTCAGCAGTGAGGCAGCATCCCTCGCCTCTTTTGTGCCTGACTACCTTTTGGGGCTGGTGGAGAAGCAGAGGTGATGATGTGGGCTGAGGTTTGGGAGGTTTGAGCCTGGCCAGCCAGGAGGTGCTCCTGACGTGGGCCTGGAGGGAGGGCAAGAACAGAGGTACGCAGAGTGGAGCCACTCCAGCCCTGGTCTCTGGGAGTTGGCAGGCTCTTGGGTTTCAGCCTGTGCTGTTCCTGGGGAGGAGGAGGAAGCCCCAGTTGAGCCCGTCTCTCCCTCTTGTCTGCACACCCACTGTGTGCAGGGTTGTTCTCCAGGCCCTTGGCCAGCGTGGAGCATGGAGGCCCTGCCTCTCCAGCTTTAGGATCCGGGAAGCAGGCAGGAGTTGGAGGGACTGGGCATGGCCAGGTCTGGCTTCCCAGGGAGGCTGTTCTGGGACAGGCCTGGAAGGAGGTCGAGATCCAAATTCTGCCTCAGTGGCTGGGTGTCTGGGTGGGGAGGATGGGGGCAGCAGAGGCCCCCTGTGACTTGAAGGCCCTGGGGGAGGGAGGTTTCTGGGTGGGGGTTTTTGGCCTCTTGGAGGTTGGGGACATTGATCTCCCCAGGGCTGTCAGTCACCTGCATCTCAGCTTTCCTAGGTGCCCTGAATTTTTTTTTTTTTTTTTTTGACAGACTCTCACTCTGTCGTCCAGTCTGGAGTACAGTGGCACGATCTCTGCTCACTGCAACCTCCGCCTTCTGGGTTCAAGCAATTTTCCTGCCTCAGCCTCCTGAGTAGCTAGGATTACAGGAGTGCACCACCACACCTGCCTAATTTTTTGTATTTTTAGTAGAGATGGGGTTTCGCCATGTTGGCCAGGCTGGTCTCGGAACTCCTGACCTCAGGTGATCCGCCCACCTCAGCCTCCCAGAGTGCTGGGCTTGCAGGCATGAGCCACTGTGTCCAGCTGATTTGGGTTTTGATGGAAGGGGCTGAGGGGGCTCTGGGGATCCCTTCTTTCAGCCCCAAGGAGCTTTAGTTTCTGGGGTGCTGTGTCTGACACCACTGTGCCAAGTCTCTGAAGGGAGCCTGGCGGGCGAAGTGACAAGGGTCAGAGTCTGTTCCCTGTCCTGCTCTGTCTGGGCCATCAGGATCTCGGGAGGGGCTCCCGGCCCGCCCCTGTAGGCCCAGCCTGGCTTGTTTTCTCGTTTCCTCTCGGGCTCCAGCTGCTGAGCTATTGATTCCATGAGCTGCCTATTCAGAGCTTGGAAAATTGAAATAGATTTTCCATGGCGCCATGGAGGGTGCAGCTGGGCTCCTAGCTCCATGTCCCTGTGTGTGGTGTGGCCAGAGGAGGGCCTGGGGAGAGGCTGCCTCTGTGGGGTGTGCATCCCTGCCTCCAGGCCCCCCTTCCTTCCCGGGTCATTACTCCCCGGGTAGCTAATTGCCCTGTGGCCAGCTCCATAAAAACAGCCTCAACCCTGCTGGCCCTTGCTGGGGTTGACTGGCAGAGGTGGGGCGGTCTTGGGTGGGACCAATATTACCTGGCTAGCAGGTGGGAAAAGGCCTTTTGGCCCCAGGACATCCTTTGGGGGCTCAGGCATGGATCACAGGTGCGTGGCTGTGCCTTCAGTGGCCCTGCTGGCTGTGGGGGATGGCTGGTGCCTCCTTTCGGTGATTGGGGACAGTATAGGGGCTCTTCCCAAGAGAGCCACATTTCTGTTGGTTGTGGACAAGGGGCAGCAGGGTGGTCAGAGCAGCCTCCGGTCAGAGCCGTCGTCTGGTTTTGCCTCATTTGCTGTGTGATTTTAAGCAAGGGTTTCACCTCTCCAAGCTTCAGGTATCTCGTCTGAAAAGGGGTGATGGTAGAAATGACCCTTTCCTTATTGTGTAACCGAGAGCTCAGTGAGATGATGGCAGGAAGCAGACCATCAGTGGTGGCAGTGGTTGGCTATCATTACCACTGTGTTTCAGGGCCTGGAGTGAGGAAGAAGATCAAAGGCTCCAAAGATGGGAAGAAAAAGGGCAAAGGGAAAAAGATGGCCGGGCTCAAGTTCCGCTTTGGAGGGATCAGCAACAAGAGGAAGAAAGGCTCCTCGGTAAGTGTGTGTGTGTGCACTTGTGTGTGCGTTTGCAGCATATATGTCTGCATGTGAGCATGCAGGGGCCAGGCCTTCAGTTCATTACAAACTAGCTGGGGCAGGTTGCACCCCTCCCCTACTCTCCTTCCAGTCTACGTGCAGATGTGCTGGACCTCAGTTTCTCCATTTGTGTGATGAGGGGTTTAGACTGAATCCTTCCAAGGACCCTTCTGACTTGGACTCTGGGCAGGGAGTACTCCCCTGGCTCACCCTCCTGAGCTGGGAGCTCAGTCATGGCTCCTGCTGTCTACAACTGTAGCTCCATTTGGGCAGCAGGTGGAGGAATCTGTCCTGGTGGGGCCTGGCCGCCCAGCGCCCAGGTCTGCTCTTGGGGGAGTGGTTGGATGGGGCTGGACCCTAGAGAAGTGGCATGTGGGCAGGATCAGACTGGCTGGAGTCCCAGTTACCTCCTCCTGTCCTCAGGGCCAGCTCTGGGCCCAGGCTCAGACGCTAAGCCCAGGTCTTACTCAACCTTGGGGCCCCCCTTTCTCTGTGAGTGTGAGGGGCATTCACCCTCGTCACCCCCATAGGTAGCTGCCTCCCTCACCTCACCCCCACCCTGCAGTGGGGTGGAGTTGGAAGCTGTTTCCCTGCCCTTTGGCAGAAGCCAGTGTCAGGTCTGGAGGGGAGCATGGAGAGAAGGTATGGCCCACCCTGGAGCTGATGGTCTAGTTCAGCTTAGCAGATATTTGTTGAGCACCTACTGTGTGCCAGGCCCTCTGCTCAGCCATGGCGGGCCATAGCCCTGTAGCACTTGTCACCTGGCAGGCGTGTTCGCTGGTGGAGAGTCCGTGATATACCAGTCAGATGGGACAGGCCAGACCTGGCACACAGGCAGTCACAATAGGTCCAGTAAAGGAGAGATCTGGGAAGACTCCTTGGAGGAGTTGTCCCTAGGGCTGCCCCTTGAAGGATGTTTAGGAGTTTGGCAGGATGGAGGGCAGGGCCTGGGGAGCTGTTCAGAGGTGGAAATTGTGGGAAGTGTCTGAAGCTGGAGAGCAGGGCTCTGGGTGGGTGGTGGGACATCGGGCTGGACAGGTAGGCTGTAATGTGAGGTTTTCAGCTGTGTGGGGGGCTGAGGCGAATCGCAGAGAGTATTGTGTCTCCAGAGCCTCTTCTGTGCTTTGTCCCACCCCACACTGCCCAGGCCAGCGAAGCCTTCTGGGTGAGGCCCTGGGATCACAGGACCTTGTCTTCCCCTGTAGAGTGAAGAAGATGAGAGGGAGGAGTCGGACTTCGACAGCGCCAGCATCCACAGTGCCTCCGTGCGCTCTGAGTGCTCTGCAGCCCTGGGCAAGAAGAGCAAGAGGAGGCGCAAGAAGAAGAGGAGTATGACTCCCCTTCCGGAGAGTTCTTGGCCTGCTGGGTGGATGTAGGGGGGCACTAGTAGGACTCCCCATGTGGAGGGTTCTCGGCCTGCGGGGTGGATGTGTGGGGCATGGAACCTCCCCGCGGGAAGCAGGGGAAGCGCATCCTCATGTCTTGGCCAGGTGGGGCCCCTGTGTTTCACACACGGCCCTGGTCTCTACTGTCTGGGGAGGGGCATCCTGTCCCAGTGAGGAAAGAACATGGAACCTATGGTGGGAGCCTCCCCAGGGCATTTGCATTAGCAGTGTGGTGACCGAAGAGGGAAGTGCTTTATCTCATCGCCATCCTCTATTCAGTCACCCCCCACCCACTTAACACCCATCTGTCCCCTCGCCTCCCTTCCCATCCCTCCCTCTCCCTCTTTCCCTCAGTTCCTTCTTTTTATCCATCCATCCCTTATCCATCCAGCCATTCATCCATCATCCATCATCCATCCATCTGTCAGCTATCCATCCACCATCCATCCATCCATCTATTCATTCATTCTTTTGTCCATCCATCCACCCATCCATCATCCCATCACCCATCCATCCACTTGCCCATCCATCCATCCATCCATCCATCCGTCCGTCCTTTTGTCCATCCATCCAGCCATCCATCCGTCTGTTCATCCATCCATCCCATCCATCCATCCATCCATCCATTTGTCCATCCATCCATCATCCATCCATTTGTCCGTTCATCCATCATCCATCCATCCATCATCCATCCATCCATCATCCATCCATCATCCATCCATCCATCCATCCATCATCCATCATCCATCCATCCATCATCCATCCATCCATTTGTCCATCCATTATCCATTCATTTGTCCATCTATTATCCATTCATTTGTTCACCCACCATCCATCCATCCATGTACCCATCTATCCATCCATCATTCATTTGTCTACCCATCCATCCATTTGTTCATTCATCCATCCATCCATTCTTTTGCCCACCCATCCATTTGTCCATCCATCCATCCATTTGTCCATCATCCATCCATTCATGCATCCATCATCCTTCCATTTGTCCATCCATTATCCATCCATTTGTCCATCCATGCATCCATCTATCCATCCATTTGTCCATCCATCCATTTGTCCATCCACCATCCATCCATTTGTCCATGCATTCATCCATCTATTTGTTTATCCATACATCCATGCATTCTTTTGTCCATTCATCCGTCTATACATCCATCCACTTGTCCATCCATCCATCCATCCATTTGTCCATCTGTCATTCATCTGTTTGCCCATCCATCCACTCATTTGCCCATCCATCCATTCATCTGTCCATCCATTTGTCCATCCATCCATCCATTATCCATCCGCCTATCCATTTGTCCATCCATCCATCATCTATCCATTTGTCCATCCATTATCCATCCATTTGTTCATCTATCCATCCATCCATCCATCTGTCCGTTCATCATCCATCCATCCATTTGTCCATTCATCATCCATCCATTTGTCTATTCATCATTCATCATCCATCCATCCATTTGTCCATTCATCATCCATCTCTCCATCCATCTGTCTATCCATTTGTCCATCCATCCATCTGTTCATCTATGAGTCCATCTATCCATTTGTCCATTCATCATCCATCGCTCCATCCATCCATTTGTTCATCTATCAGTCCATCCATCCATCCATCCATCCATCCATCCATCCATCCATCCATCCATTTTGTTCATCCATCGTCCATCCATCCATTTGTCCATCCATTCATCCATCCATCCATTTGTCCATTCATCCATCTATCCATTCATCATTCTACCCATCCACCCACTCTCTTACCCTTCCTTCCTTCCTTCTTTCCTTTTATCCATCTTCTATCTCTTCACCCTTTTACAACCTCAACCATCAGTCCACTCATCCACCCACCTATCCACCCACTATCTATTATGCATCTACTCTGTGCCTGTCTGGCCTGGGGCGGTGCAGTTGGTTGTGTTCTGGGAGTGCGGATGAGGCCTTCCATGACTGCCTCTCCCCTACCTTAGTTGATGATGGTGACGGCTATGAGACAGACCACCAGGATTACTGTGAGGTGTGCCAGCAAGGTGGGGAGATCATCCTGTGCGACACCTGCCCGAGGGCCTACCATCTCGTGTGCCTGGACCCAGAGCTGGAGAAGGCTCCCGAGGGCAAGTGGAGCTGCCCCCATTGTGTAAGCCTTGGCAGAGCCCCGGGCTGGGAGTGGGGCCACGCCTGGCTCCCCCACCCCTGTGCCCTCATTTGGGGGCAGAATGCGGGGAAATGCTGTGGGGGAGGGAGGGAGTCAGGCCCTGGTGGAGCGGGGACCCCGCCCAGGGTGCCTCCACCTGGCCTCCTCCCCCAGGAGAAGGAGGGGATCCAGTGGGAGCCAAAGGACGACGACGACGAAGAGGAGGAGGGCGGCTGCGAGGAGGAGGAGGATGATCACATGGAGTTCTGCCGCGTGTGCAAGGACGGGGGCGAGCTGCTCTGCTGCGATGCCTGCCCCTCCTCCTACCACCTGCATTGCCTCAACCCGCCACTGCCCGAGATCCCAAACGGTGAATGGCTCTGCCCGCGCTGTACTGTGAGTGTTCCGCCCGCCCCGCGCCGGACGCCCCGCCCCACCCCAGGAACAGGCCCCGCCCCCAGGGGAAGGCCTGCCCTCCTCAAAAGGCCCCGCCCCTGCTGGCTGCGGACCCGCCTCGGTAGCTGATCCCGCAAAGCTCCGCCCGCGCCGCTCGAGGCCACGCCCACTCTAGCTTCCCCGCATCCCGCTCCGTGTCTGACCCCGCTAGAGACGGGAGGCATGAGTGTTAGGGAAAGGCAGGCAGGTCTGTGGTGATCATGCCAATACCACGACCACTGTTCAGTGACCACGTGCTCTGCAAGGGCTCCACATCCATCATAGTATCCTTTAACATTACTGAGTATTCTGGCACCACGCATTTTGTTATTTCCTTTTCAGATGAGAAAACTGAGGCTCAGGGAAGCAGAATGACCTGCCTAAGGCCACACAAGGGCCAAACTGTCCCTCAGATTCAGGTCCCTGGAGCCACCCCAGACCTGGCTCCTGTTCGGAGGCTGGGGATAGGGAGAGGGTAGGAGGGTCCTAGGGCCAGAGCATCAGTTTCTGCAGGAAGAGGGGCACCCCCATCCCTCATCCCCCAATCACAGTAGACATCGGAAGGCCCCTTGCTCTGAGCTGTCTGCCCTGCGCCCCGCGGTGCCAGATCCCCCACCCCTCAGGTCCTGGGCTGTGCTGCCTTTAGCCCTGGGCCGTCCCGTGTGCATGTGGGCTTGTGCTGTGTGTGTGTGTGTGTGTGCGTGCATCCGCGCGCATACTTGTCTGTGTCTGTGTCGGGGTCAGGGGAGGACCCTTTTGAGGGGTGCAGCCTCCTGTGCTTTCCTAGGATTCATGGAAGGCCCTGGGGATGGGAGGGAGGCAGGAGTGGAGTTCCTCTCAGCTTCTTCCCTGAGGAGTTGGGATGGGGTGGGAGGGTCCCCTCTTCCACTCCCCCCAGAGCCAGCGGAGGAGCCTTTCCTGCCTCCCGTATCCTCCTCCTCCTCTGCCTCTTGGCCTTTGCTGTCACCAAGGCCAAAAGAAGGCTGGCTATGTGGTATACCTTGCACCTCTAGAATGCCTTCAGGTGTGATGTGGCACCACAAACCTGGTAGGTGGAGGAAGGGGTGGGCCATTTTACAGATGGGAAAGCAGGCTCAGTAGGCTTGGACAAGTTTCCGAGGACAGGTAGTAGCAGAGCTGGGACCTGCTGTCCCCAACAGAGCTGTCTCCCTGAATCAGTCACCCCTGACCCTGTCCAGCCAGGCTCAGCACCGCCTCCTTGGAGGGCCAAGGCTGCTCCCACCCATCTCAGGGCCCAGGTGGTGGAGTTTGTGGCGGTTGCATTTCTCGCCTTTGCCAACCAGCAGCTCATTGTCACCGTAGCATCGGTCAGGGCCCGTGCAGTGTGTCTGTGGGCTGCCAGAAATGGGGCCTCATTGTCCCAGCCTAGATGCACAGTGCTTGGGTGCAGCCCTGCCCCAGGTGAGGGATGGCGGATTGGAGGCTGCCATGTCCCTGAGCTCCAGCATGGGGCTCATGCTCCCTGGGTGCTTGGGGGTCACACAATGATGTGACCTCTTTTCAGGGTACAATGGGAAGACCTAAGGTAGGGGAAGTCCAGAACTTCATATTCTGCTCCCTGCTCTGCTGTCCCTTGCCGAGTGGGCCTCAGTTTCCCCCTCTGTCGTGTGCATATGGCAGTCTTACCTACCCTGGCTCAGATATTCTGGGTGCCAATGAGTTTACCACTGAGTGAAAGGGCTACGTGGTCTCCCAGACCCCCATTGCCCGTCTCCTGTGTGCATGACCCATGCGGCTCCTGAGGACGGGGTGGATGTCATGGCGTCACGGTGGTGCTGTTCTGACTTGGGGACAGTGGCACTGATGGGAGGGAGCCTGCGTGGCAGCCTGCTGTCATGGGAGCCTCAGGGTGGGGCCCTGCAGCTGAGCCCCACCTTGGGGACCCTTCTCTGTCCACAGTGTCCCCCACTGAAGGGCAAAGTCCAGAGGATTCTACACTGGAGGTGGACGGAGCCCCCTGCCCCCTTCATGGTGGGGCTGCCTGGGCCTGATGTGGAGCCCAGCCTCCCTCCCCCCAAGCCCCTGGAGGGCATCCCTGAGAGAGAGTTCTTTGTCAAGTGGGCAGGGCTGTCCTACTGGCACTGCTCCTGGGTGAAGGAGCTACAGGTGAGTGCTCGGCAGGGTGGCTGTGCCAAGGCTCAGGACCTGGTGAGCCCTGGACCCTCCCGGGCTGGCGGGAAGGGGCTGAAGCGCCTCTGACTGAGGGGTGCTGTTGGGAGTTGGGGTGGTGCTGGGCTGGGGCTAGGGGAGCTGGGTAGGGAGACGCAGAGGGCCATGGCTCATCCCCCTTCTGTGGCTCGTGCCCGTCTGTGAGCAGCTGGAGCTGTACCACACGGTGATGTATCGCAACTACCAAAGAAAGAATGACATGGATGAGCCGCCCCCCTTTGACTACGGCTCTGGGGATGAGGATGGCAAGAGCGAGAAGAGGAAGAACAAGGACCCCCTCTATGCCAAGATGGAGGAGCGCTTCTACCGCTATGGCATCAAGCCAGAGTGGATGATGATTCACCGAATCCTAAACCATAGGTGTGTGCCTGCAGCTGGCTACCCTCCCTGCCCATCACTGGGGCTGGGCCGCATCAGCTCCTTTGCTCTGTAAAATGGTGCAGGGCAGGGCACCAGGGCCCTTGCTTTGGGGCTGCTGTGCAGGACCACATGTGGGCACAGCAGGGGCACAAGGAAGGGGCCTAGGGCTCCCAGTGCTGGAGATCTGCCTGACCTGCTGGAGGGGCCGTCCCATGCATGCCTGCACACTCATACACACGTGTTCACACCCTTGGGGGTTCGGGACCCTCGTGCTGGGTTAGTGCTTGATACCAGCATGAGGGTTCTGAGGATGCGGGAGGCCCGAGGTGTGGGGGTATGTCCGCATTTCCGCCACGTTTGTAATAGTAGCTGGCTGTACTGAGCACTGCCTACCCTGGGAGAGAGGCGTCTTTCTTTTACCTCTGTTTTACTGATGTGAGAATAGGCACAGCAAGGTTAAGTCACTTGCCAGAATCACACAGCCACGGAGTGGAGCTGGGATTTGAACCCCATGCTTTCTGACTGCAGGACCTACTTTCTTAGCCACTGTTGCACCCCCCAGTGCCCCAGCAGCAGCTCTTCCTGGAGCAGTCTGGCAATTCCCCGGGATGCCTTAGCAATCAGAGGTTGCAGGAGGCTGGGACAAAGAGCCGGAGGCAGGAGGCCTGTGGGCTTTGGTTTTGATTTGGTGGGTGATGGGAACTCCTGCCAATTCTTGAGTTTAGGGGCTTGAGAACTGGTGGTGGCTGACAGATGGGCCTTGGGGTGGGGCCCAGAGTACCTGCTGTGTGGTGGCAGCTTGGAGCTTATGCTCCCCAACCTGGCTACCCTGTGGCCTCTGCCTTTGAGGGGCTTAGGATCGGTGGCCTCTGCCACTCAGTGCTTCTGGCTTCAGGCAGCTGTTGGGTAGAGCAGAGGTTAAGAGCCTGAGCCAGATGTTCAGATTTCAGTCCTGGCTCCCAACTGCTGGGCTTTGAGGCCCTTGTAGGGAACAGGCTGCTGCACAGGTGACCGGAGCTTGCCAAAGGCTGGCTGTGGGCAGTCTTCAGAAGGAGGGGCGCGGAACTTGAAAAAGCTGCCCCTTCAACTATGGGACACCCATGTTTTTCCTCTCCAGACCTTCCTGAGAATGACCTTCAAGGGTCAGTTTCTGTGGGAACCTAATTCCCGGCAATGAATTGGCCTACGGTTTTCTACCTTTACTAAATTGCATGCTAGAAATATACATGGTAGTTTTTCTGTCTGCTCCAAAGTGGGACAGGTGAAGCTCCCCTGGATTTATTCCCCCAGTCTGCAAAACAATCAATTATGTATTGGAAAACAAACAAACATCGGTTTCTGTGGTAACTGGAGATTCGTCTTTCTCTTTATGGCCCCCAGGCCCACAGCAGCCGCTGCCCACCGGGTCTGTGTGCCTCCTCGGCGCTGCTATGTGGGGTAGCCATGCCCCGGCCCGGCCCGGCCCTGCAGCACTCCTCTGGCCTGGTTGCCTTAGCTTGGGCGGGTGGGAGGCCCTGAGGACCCTCCCAGTGGCCAGAATCAAGCTGTGTGCTGCTGGGCTTGGCCACTGGGTCCTTGTGTCCCCGGAAGAGACTGCCTCACATGCAGGAATTGCGTCCTTATCTACTTTGCAGAGACGGCTCCTCACCCTACATGGCCACTGCACGAGTCCTTCCCGTATTTTAAGTTAGAAAACTGAGTCCATTGGCAGGAAAGAGAACTTTCCAACTTAGAAATCCAGGACTCCTGTGAAAATCCAGATCCCGTGACAGATGGGATTCATCCCTGCCACAGAGGCGCACAGGATGCGGGAGGCTGGCTGGTTGCTCCTCTGTTAGCTGGCCTCCGTGTCCCTCTCTGGCTCTGCCCCGTCCCCCTCTCATTCGCTGTGTGGCCCCGGGCAAGCCGCTGCACCTCCCTGGAGCTTCTGCCCTCGTCCCCTCCTCCTGGCTGGGCCCAGCATCCAAGGCGACCCTGGGTGTGAGTGGCTCTGCATCCTGGGAGGTTCATCAAACCCGTGCTGTGGCGCCCTGAGCGACCCACATCTGTTCACTGTGTTGCAGCTTTGACAAAAAGGGGGATGTGCACTACCTGATCAAGTGGAAAGACCTGCCCTATGACCAGTGCACCTGGGAGATCGATGACATCGACATCCCCTACTACGACAACCTCAAGCAGGCCTACTGGGGCCACAGGTGGGCCGCAGGGATCCGGCTGCTGGGCACAGGCTGCCGGGGAGCTGAGCCTTGCTCACCTGCATCCTATGCCTTTTCCTAGGGAGCTGATGCTGGGGGAAGACACCAGGCTGCCCAAGAGGCTGCTCAAGAAGGGCAAGAAGCTGAGGGACGACAAGCAGGAGAAGCCGCCGGACACGCCCATTGTGGACGTGAGTTGTGGGGGGGCAGCAGTGGGTGGGGTTGCCAGGGCCTGCCCACCCCAGACTTGAATGTGCAGGGGGTGTGTGTTCTCAAAGGGACGTTTCCTTGGGCCCTCATGGCTTGTGCAGACAGTGTTATGCCCGTGTAGACTAGGACAGCCGCAAGGCACCTCATAGCACTGCAGCTGACACGCTGCTTACACACCACTCTCACCTGGGAGGAGACCCAACTCACTCAGCAGAGCTCTCTGAGTGTCCACTAGCGCCTGGCCTTGGGCTCGAGCCCTGGGCATCTGTTTCAGAAGATGCACTGTCTTCTAGGGGCCCTTGGTGGGTATCCACAGAACACAGAGGGCCTGGCCTGGGACTATCAGGCGCCTGTCAGATGCCGAGGAAAGGCAGATGGGCCTGGTCCATTGGGAGGACTGCATGGGGCCAGTGACCTTGAGCAGGATCAAGAGGCAAATGGGCTGGGCATGGTGGCTCATGCCTGTAATCCTAACACCATGGGAGGCTGGGGTGGGAGGGCCGCTTGAACCCAGAAGTTTGAGGCAACATAGTGAGATCCCACCTCTACATAAAATTTAAAAATTAGCCAGGCATGGTGCTATGTCTGTGGTCCCAGCTACTAGGGAGGCTGAGGTAGGAGAATCCCTTGAGTCCAGGAAATTGAGGCTGCAGTGAGCCGTGATCGTGCCACTGCACTCCAGACTGGGCAACAGAGACTCAGTCTCAAAAAAAAAAAAAAAAAGCAAATGTCAAATGCTTGGATCAAGTGGAGGAGCCAGTTATTGGCGTTGAGAGTGCCCCAGATAGACGTTCGTTTTGTTGTTGATCCAAAAAATAGTAAGTGACTACATGTCCCAGGCCCTGGATGGTGCTCAAGAGGAGGCAGTGAGCAGGACCAAGGTGGTGGTGACAACCTGGGCTCAAAGTCAGAGAATTCAGCAGTTGGGAAATTTCCCTGATAGGGGAAGTACAGGGCTGCCATGGGAGGACACTGCGGGAGCACTTCAGCCAGGCTGGGAGTCAGGGAGGGCTTCCTAGAGGACAGAGGTGTTCCATCCAAGAACTGGAGAAGAGTTACGGAGACAGACAGGAGAGGGAAGAGTGTTCCAGGCAGAAGGAATTGCATGTGCAAAGTAGTGTGGACTCTGGTGGCCCAGGATCTGGGGCGTGTCTGAACCGCTGCCTCCCCTGCAGCCCACGGTCAAGTTCGACAAGCAGCCGTGGTACATCGACTCCACAGGCGGCACGCTGCACCCGTACCAGCTGGAGGGCCTCAACTGGCTGCGCTTCTCCTGGGCGCAGGGCACTGACACCATCCTGGCCGATGAGATGGGTCTGGGCAAGACGGTGCAGACCATCGTGTTCCTCTACTCCCTCTACAAGGAGGTGGGCAGGCGGGGCAGGTGGCCAGGAGGGGTGGCCGGTCCTGGCTGAGGGCAGCTGGTCTCACGGCATTGTCCCCTTTCTTCAGGGCCACTCCAAGGGGCCCTACCTGGTTAGTGCGCCCCTCTCCACCATCATCAACTGGGAACGCGAGTTTGAGATGTGGGCACCCGACTTCTATGTGGTCACCTACACGGGGGACAAGGAGAGCCGCTCGGTGATCCGGGAGAATGAGTTTTCCTTTGAGGACAATGCCATTCGGAGTGGGAAGAAGGTGTTCCGTATGAAGGTGAGGGCTCACCATCCTTGGAAGGACGGTAGGAAGACCCTGGGTCTGGTTCAGGGACCACAGGTGCCCTGTCCTCCTTCGGGGTCCCTCAGCCTGGGAGGGCTACCGAGGCTGGCAGACTCCGAAGGACTTGTCCTAGAGGCTGAGTTACCGCCATGTCAGTTTTCTGGGGCTCCTGTTAACAAAGTGTCACAGACAGGGTGGCTTCAAACAGCAGAGATGTATTCAGTCACAGTTCTGGAGGCTGGAGGTTGGAAATCAAGGTGAGGGCAGGGCGGCGTGCCTCTGAAGGCTCTAGGGGAGAATCCTCCCTTCCTCCTTCCAGCCTCCTGGTGGCGGCAGGAGTTCACTGGCCTGCAGCCGTCAAGTCAGTTTCTGCCTGTGTTAGCACATGGGATTTTCCCCTTTGTGTCTGTTTCTCATCCTATAAAGACATCATTCATACTGGATTTAGGGCCCACCCTAATCTAATATGATCTCATCTTAGCTACTTATTTTATTTATTTATTTTTTTGAGACACTGTATCACCCAGGCTGGAGTGCAGTGGGGTGATCTCGACTCACTGCAACCTCCCCTTCCTGGGTTGAAGTGGTTCTCCCACCTCAGCCTCGCGAGTAGCTGGGACTCCAGGAGTGCGCCATCACGGTCGGCTAATTTTGTATTTTTTGGTGGAGACGGGTTTCACCGTGTTGGCCAGGCTAGTCTTGAGCTCCTGAGCTCCAGTGATCTGCCCTTCTCGGCCTCCCAAAGTGCTGGGATTACAGGAGTGAGCCACTGTGCCTGGCCCCAACTAATTATTATTATTATTATTATGAGTCGGAGTCTCATTCTGCCGCTCAGGCTGGAGTGCAGTATGGCACGATCTCAGCTCGCTGCAACCTCTGCCTCCGAGTTCAAGCAATTCCCATGCCTCAGCCTCCAGAGTAGCTTGGATTGCAGGCATATGCCACAATGCCCAGCGAATTTTTTGTATTTTAGTAGAGACGGGGTTTCACCATGTTGCCCAGGCTGGTCTCGAACTCCTAAGCTCAGGCAATCTGCCTGCCTTGGCCTCCCAAATTGTTAAGATTACAAGTGCGAGCCACCATGCTCAGCCTATTATTATTATTATTATTATTATTATTATTATTTTGAGACAGGGTCTCACTCTGTCACCCAGGCTAGAGTGCAGTGATGTGATCATAGCTCACTGCAGCCTTGACCTCCAGGAGCGGGGACTACAGGGACACACCACCACACCCAGCTAACTTTTACATTTTTTGTAGAGATGGGGTCTCCCTTATGTTGCTCAGGCTGGTCTGGTACTCCTGGGCTCAAGCAGTCCTCCTGCCTCAGCCTCGCAAAGCATGGGGATTATAGGCATTGAGCCACCATGCCCAGACAACTAATTATGTCTGCAAAGACTCCAAAAGAGCTTCTGGGTGGACATGAACGCTGGGGGGACACTATTCAATGCAGTGCACCAGCTGTGTGACTTCGGGCAAGTCACGTGGCCTCTCTGGGCCTCAGTGTTTTCTCAGCAAAATGGAGTTAACAGACACACACCCCACAGAGTCAAGTGAGTTAATAAGCACGAGGTCTCATGGTGCCATGAACCCTACGAGGTCTTGTTAAAGCACAGTCTCTGACCCAGCAGTGCTGGGGTGGGGCCCGAGCCTCTGCATTTCATTTTTTCTTCTTTTTTTTTTTTTTTTTGAGACGGAGTTTCACTCTCGTTGCCCAGGCTGGAGTGCAATGGCACAATCTTGGCTCACCACAACCTCCGCCTCCCAGGTTCAAGCAATTCTCCTGCCTCAGCCTCCCTGGTAGCTGGGATTATAGGCATGTGCCACCACGCCCAGCTAATTTTGTATTTTTAGTAGAGACGGGGTTTCTCCATGTTGGTCAGGCTGGTCTCGA